ACGTTCCAATATTATCTAAAATCGCTAAGTAATGGTGTTTGAAATTGAATATTCAGTTTAAAACCAAATAAAAATTCTGTAAGGATTGTGCAAGATGTTAACGATATTCTATAATAATCAGGGTTGGTCAAATTACTGGTCGACCAAAATTTGTTGGTCAACCTGGCCCGGTCAATTAACAAGATTTTAATTAGAATTGATAGTTCGCTATATACTAAAATTCTTGCTATAGTACTTGTTTCACGGGCTGTTTTCATGTGAAGATAAATTATTGAAACATTTATAATTTTTGGAAGGTATAAATTTTATAACTAAATGCATAAAAAGTCTATAAAGCATTAAGTTTATAAGTACAACTAATAACTAAATCTACGAAACTTTCGTATCAAAGTCCTTGAACAGATTAATGGTGAAATATATCTATAATGTTCAAACTTTTTTAGCAATTTCTTCATATAAATGCAGTGAATGAATTTAAATTATTTTCTATCACTTCCTTATATACTGATTTTATAATTTTTTGTATACTCTTTTAAAGTGTTTTTTTTTTTTTTATCATGAAATTATCACCAAAAACATTCGTCATTATGGTTTCCGAAAAAATAGTTATTACTATATTTAATACTCTCACACATGATTTCTAAAGCAGAAATGTAGTTATTTACCTTGAAATCTTTCTAATTCCCAATTTGGAAATGATAATCTCTTCCACGAATTGTTGTTTATTTATATCTGTTCTTATTTTAGATTTCCATACTTTTGTATTTCCATAATTTGTATTTTTCGTCAAATATTCCAACATCATCATGTATCCTTTTATCCATAATATCTAGGAACTAAATTATTGATTCATTGTACTCTTGCGATCATATTATTGAGTTGATATTTGGATAGAGATTTGAAGTCATTGTAATATTTGTATCTTTCTTTATATTCACATATATCGGCGATATGTTTGATAACCTTCTTGGTTTTAGTCTTCTTACCAATTGTTTTAGCTTGTCTTGTATTTCCTTTTTACTGATTCTGAATGAATGATCATTGTTAATAATATACATAAAATCATTATTATTATTATTTGCAGCCGTGGTAGACAGCTCGTCATCTGAATCAGTGATCAATATAACTTCTGGTGTTCTCACGTAGTGATTGTTTTGGTTTATTTTTTTGTATTAGAAATGAAAAAGAAAAGGCTTTCAAACTTTTGAAATAAATTTATCATAGTTTGATATAGTGTTGCTGAATTTATAACACCCGGCCAGAATTATACTCTTAACTTTGCCTAAATTTAGCCAAATTTGCAAAATTATCTATTTCCCTATGATTTGGCTTAAAATATCGATTTATATAAATCAATATTTTTCCGTGTCCTGATTACAACCTTGGTTTTTTGCGAAAAGAATTTTAAATAATAAATTTAGGAATTCAGGAGCATTTATACCCGTAAGAATTTTTGTTTTTGTCCAAAGAATCATGTAGTATATTACTCCAAACAAAACTCACAACTGGAGATTCGCCAAATATAAACGAATCCACTTGGGGACATAATATATTAAAACCTATCATCAATTTTATTGAATATGATCTAGAGACAGAAATCTTAATAAGATAGTAATTTATGACTTTAATTTATTTATAAAATATAGTAGTTAAAAGTAATTTTTTTTTATATAGGGATGCAATCACTAGTCAAGTGAGCTTAGATAGAAATAATGATAAAGGTCCTATTAAAAAATACGATATCTTTGGTGTGTGCAAAGATGAAAAATATTATATAGAACTCATATTTGGCGAGATATCTCATGGGCCTCAAACTCATATTCATTCAATTGAAGACAGAAATAAAGAGCAAAGGATTCATTAGATAGTATATCAAGAACTTATTCCAAATCACCAAATTTTAATTAACGAATTTAAAAATCTTTTTATTGCATTCGCATGGTTAGTAAAAAATTTTTAATATTTAGAAAGTTTCTATTTATTTAAAATTTAAATATAATTGTTCATTTAGGGACAAAGTTGGAATTTTTAATTTTTGATAAAAAATATTCACCAATGTTCCAAATAAGAAGATTAGCAATTATTGAAATCCTTTTTAAAAAGGGATTGGATTTATTAGAATTAATTAAAGTTGTGCACACCTTTAAATATCTTATAGAGGAAACTGTAGAAAACATAAAATTTTTTAAAAAAGCAAAAAACTACATGAATTATGATATAAATAAAGAAGATGAAGAGGATGAGGATGATGAAAGAAGTGAAAATTATGAAAGTGAAAATAATGAAAGTAAAGATGATGAAGAAAGTAAAAGTTATAAAAATGAAAATAATGAAAAAGAAGATAAAGAAAATGAATGCAATAAATTAGAGAATGAAACTAACAGAAGTGATTTGGATAGTTATAACATCCCAACGTTTAATACACCAATTTTACAAAAAAAGAAAAAAAGACAAACAATGTCTAATTTCTGATTTTATATTGCTAAATTTCATGTCATTTAAAAGTAGATATCGAAATTTAATAAATGCAAATATTGAAAATTATTAAGTTCAATATATTATTAATACATTTATCATATTGTGTTTATAAAATTTATTTAATATCCTGAGCCGTTGGGCATTAGTTTTCCACTTAATAAAGTGATCGGGTATTTATCTTAGCTGAAAAGATTATGACAGTAACTTCTTCTACAGGTCATTTAACCAACATCATGCAAGTGGCAATTTACTAACAATATATACTAATCAAATGCTAACCCTAACCCTATGTGATATCAGTTAAATAGTCTGTAGAGAAAATGACTGTTGGAAAAATGAGATACTGGAGTATATTAGATCTTACTAGAGAGCTTGTTTGATTGGTAATAAATTGTTAGATGATGTAGTACAGTTTTTTTACGAATAGGATTGCATGGTTGCCAAAACCAGTTCCTGAAGAATTGCTAGAGTACTTTAATAAAAAATGCAAAGATGCGGTATTATCTGGTTAAATTACTATGTTTTTAACCGGGTCAAATCTCCAAGAGCAGGATAGAAATTTGATTCAGATACTTTATTATTAATTTACTGGTTATCAGAATAAATGTTAGAATTCTAACTAATAAAAAAATATTTTTTGATAATTTATAATTTTGTATTATCTTGACCGATTTATTTAAATCTGAAGATGATTCTTTATAACATTCATCTTGGTATAAGTAATTTCGCGCAAATTTACTATTATTTTATTCTTCTGCTACTTAATTCTCTGCATTGAATTGCTATTCAGATTAGTAAACTTTATACGTAAAGTGATGTAAACTTTAATTTTGGTATTTATCTTGCTTGTGTTTTACTGACTTTATATTACTCTATCTAGAATTATGCACGCCTCCAACTAAAATTATGTTAATGCGGACCGTCTGATTGGATTATAACAATAATAAAATCTCACATATCACCTAATCATATCCAGTGTATAGTATAGTCTTTTGAATACAGTAGAAAATATGTATAACATTCACAATTATCTAAAGAAAATTTTGAAATGCATAAACCATAGCATTAGATGATCCGGCAATCAAGAATTTTTTTGCTTTAGTCACGTGGCACAATTTCATGTGAGTTGAGATTATCTGATTTACGTATGTGGATTTGGAACACAAGCTGATAAATAAGTGACAAAAAGAGAAAACCTGTAAATCATCTTACTCAATGAGTGAAATGATTTACATGTTTTCCCTTTTCATCACTCAAATTCAAGTGGTTGTTGTTAACATTAACGTTACTACGTATATACTGTAACTAGACTTATTATTACCCTTAGCATTAGTATTAGATCGATAGATACTCAAATCAGGGACACGGAAATTATATATTA